TGGTATTTAAAAGTAAGCAAACAAGAATTTGGAATATGATTTTAATGGAATAAAATGAAAATAGAAATTACGAGACGAGATGGGAGGGGAACATATATTAAAAATCAAACTAAATACCCAACTGGCATGAGTTCGGGTTATGAGCACTATATAAAATAAATTTGTTTACACACGTAACACTGTACATACGTTTTCAGTTACACATACTATATTTATGACAAATATGGGACCATAATATTTTTATTTTACGTATACGTGACAGATTATGGGACAAAGAATTTATGACAGATACCGGACGGGATATTTTCATGTTCCAAAATAGTTACTCCTAGCTAATATACATGAAATAACCCAAACTAAAACCGAATTCATATCCTATTTAACATATGTAATCAAACTGTTAGAACTATTTTAATTAGTTAAGAAAATAAAAATGTAACACCACTTAACTTGTGCAACTAAATTAGTCCGGATCTTAAAATATAATTATGTATTAACGCAACTGAATTTTGTTCATTACTCTAACTTTATAATATTTATACTATTACGAAGTTCACTAACACAACAAATATTTTATATTTTTAAAATCTCTACACGTATGTGGATCCAGATCTAATACACTAAAATATATATATCATAAAAAGTTAAAAACAACAAAATAATCTATACTGAATTAAAATTTGTTAGAAATTTTTTAAAATATGAAACCCCGCACGTATGTGCGGGTCATGATCTAGTTTATATTATTTTGAATTATTATAAAATATATATAGTTACTAAATTTTAGTTTTTTTTCTACATATGTTATGATTCAAATTTTATAAAACAGACATATATTAATCAGTCGATAAAGAAAAAAAGTATGTGTGTAATCTATATTAACATTTTTTAAGAACAAATTGCACATTTAATCATGTCGTTTTTTTTTATTCTGACCCGAAATTGAGTCATTCAGATCTTTTCTTAATTTCTACAATTATCTAAAACGGGACAGTATACCAGGGGTGAGATCCTAAAATTAACAAATCAAAATACAATTATTTAGTATTTTAAGATACAATTATTTTTTTATGGGTTGATCCAAAAACACATACTAATTTAAAAATATATATATTATTGAAACCATTTCAAAATAAACTTTTAAATTGACTCAAATTATATGTCTTTTAAATAAAAGTATTATTAACAAAAATAACAAAATGATGTTTAATTCCACAGGACAGGAGTATATGGTAAGACGGGTTTGGTCGATATTAATACGGGACAATATACCACGGGTGAAATCCTAGAATTAATTAATTAAAATTTAATTATATAATTTTAAACAGTAAACAAAACAAATACAACTTAAAATTTTTATTTTTTATATACAACGCATGTGACCCGCGGTGTATAACAAAAAATATTATATACAACAAATTCATCAGTTTATAAAAAGATAAAAAAAAAAAATCAAATAATTAACCCGCGGTGTACCGCGGGTCATATCCTAGTGTATTTTTAAAGCTAAAACATAAATTCTACGCTTTTGCATTTTTGTAGCACTATGCAGCTTTTTTAATTGATAAATTTTCATAATTGCATTAAAAATATCATTCCGTCAGTATACGGGTTACCAATCGAAGTAAAATTAATAATAATACCAAGATTCAACCACTTTCATTCACACGACTACTCATATATTATGTGTTTGTACTTTTAAAAAATCACCAATTTGAGCATGGAAGAAGATACACATATAATTTATCATCTTATTATTCAAACAGTTGCATAGAAAATTACAATATCTTAACGATTTTTCATCTATAAAAGAACTATATATTTTATATTTAATCAAAGCAAATAAAATTTTATTGATGGTTTTGATCTTCCGAGTCTATGATAGGGTTCCTAGCTCTCATTGCAATCGGTGGAGATTCGTAACATTTTTTATGACAAGCCGCACATTCTGATGCTGGTGATGAGCGTTTACAATGCTCTCGACAAATCTTACTGCATTCTATCTCCGTTTTTGCTTCGCCTTCTATCACAATGACCGCTAGTATCATCATTATCAACGCCATGCTAATTACTTTCCCCATTTTTCAACTTTAATTATTTTTTTCTTTATGTTGATGAATGAACTCTTATGAAAACGTCTGTATTTATACTTTTGAAACCATGATGACTACACTGTTTTTCAATTAATATTAGTCAAAGTTTTATTTTTTTCCATGTTTGGTCTCAACTTGTAAGGTATTTGTTTTTGATATATGTCATAATTATTGTTCAAATATTTTTAGATTTTGATGTTTGAATTCTCAAAATAGAACTATTTTTATATTCTAATATTTTTTACTAATTCGAGCATAGTAATGAAATATTACGAGTTTCTTAGTTGACTGCATTAAAAAAGAAGAGAAATTGCACTCTATAACTATATAAAAATTAATAATTAGTAGAATAATCATCTTTTTTTTTGGTAAGGAGTAGAATAATCATCTATACTAGTATTTTGAAGTACATTTTTAGCGGATGGGGCAAATTGCATTTGGATACAATGGGCATCCGACCCGTTTAGAAATTTTGGTCATAAAAAGTTTGTTGGATCGGGTTAAATTTAACTCAACTCATACACTGGATATTTAATATTTAATAATTTAGATATTTAGAAGATTTGATTAAGGTTTAGAATTATGATTCTCCTACCATCTTTGTTTGATTTGTTTTTAACTGTTGAATCATCATATAATACATAAATTAAAAAAAAAAATCAATTTTTTCTGCATAATACTGTGATTTGAAATTTAAAAAACGGACATATATTATCCAATTGAAGAAAAAATATGTGTTCAACGTTCCACATCGAATACAATGATTTAGATTCATATCATAAATAAGATCTACATTTATAAAATAAATGAGTTTTTGGCGGGACGGGTTTTTGAATCAACAATAATAAAAAATTAAAATATCATTAATCCGCCGCTTCAATACGGATTAAATCTTTAATTTTTCTAATACCACCAATATTAGACATATCAAATCAGTCTCATTTAGAAAAGATTGTATAAAACCAAAAATTGTCCCGTGGTATAATGTTACTTAATAACAATTGTAAACTATAAAATAGAAATGTCTTAGACAATGATACAATTTGAAATTTTTTATATATAATAAATAATCGTTAAATTTTTAAAATTACTACTTTTAGAAAACAAATTACGGGACGGGTTAAGAAATAACAGGACGGGTTATATTTCGGAACGGAATTATATGGTAGACATGTTTGAATCAATATTTATAAAATTTTAAAATATCATTAACATGCCGCTTTAATACAGATTTAATCCTCAGTTTATTAAAATATAAATGTCTTAGAGAATATACAATTTGAAAACTTTTATATATAATAAATAATTATTAAATTTTAAAATCACTACTTTTAGAAAACAAATCACGGGACATGTTAAGAAATTACGGGACGAGTTATATTTCGGAACGGGTTTATATGGTGTAACACCCCGGTTTTAGGAATATTGTGGTGCATGCAGAGAGGTTTAAAAGAATTGATTTGGCCACCTATGCCATCAAAGTGCACTTATCTTTTCGGTCAATTGTCCTGAGAGAACTCCACAGTTAAGCGTGCTTGGGCTGGAGTAGTTTCAGGATGGGTGACCTTCCGGGAAGTGATTATCGGAACTGTGTGAGTGAGAACAAAACACAGGGAAAGATCATGTGGTGATTTGTAGGGTCGGTAAACAAGTCTTTAAAGCCTCCCGGACGTAGCGGACCGGCCGTCGGACAGGGGTGGGCCCATGGGCCCTAGAGAGGACGTGGGGCCCATTGGTAGGGACGGTCGGGGCGTTACATATGGCGTGCGGCTTTGAATTAATATTTATAAAAATTTTAAAATATCATTAACATGCCGCTTTAATACGGGTTAAATCCTCAGTTTATTAACAATTATCTGTGGACTCGTGGTATATTGTTACTTAATAATAATTGTAAACTATTTGCAAAAATTTATATATACTAACTTTAAAAAATAAATCATCCTACGGGTTAAAATCTAGTTTGAGATTAAAAGCCAAGCGTTTTTTTCTTTACATAAGTGATACGGTACTTCAAGTTACAAATTGATAAATTTCAAAATACAATGGAAAATATATCACAGTTTCCTATCAAATGGCGAGAAGACAAGTTTACATATGTAGAAAGACAAGATGGACCATAAACACCACAATTTTATGATAGCTAAGATGAGATAACATGCAAAAAGATCAAAACAAGATTGGAAGACACAATTATATTTCTCCTTTGTAGCCCTGTAGGCATGAAAAAAAACAAAATAGTCTATTCTAGAATTAAATATGGCCACACTCTTATAGAACTCCAGTTTTGAGCAGTCTCAAATACGATGTTCGAGACCACCACAACAAGTACAACCCTTGACACCACTTGCATTAGCAATGGTCTCTAATTTTTCCACTTGATCACGGGTACATGCAAGGGCGGAGGCAATATGACAAAAGGGGTCTCAATTGACATCCATGAGTTTTTAAAAATATGTTGGTTTTGTTAAGTTTTTAAAATTGACCTTCTTCGCAAAATATTTTGAACCTCCATTAAATATATAACCAAATATAGCCAATACATAACTTTAAACTATAATATGTTAGCTCAATTAATTTTACCAAAAATATATATAAAATAAAAGTAGGCCTATTAAAGATTAATAAACCTAAATATTAATTTTAAAATAGGCCCATTAAAAAGTACGTAAATTTTCAATCCTATCTCACAACCCCCTTTATTACAGAAATAGAACCCAAATGTCTAATTTGCAAATTTTAATTACTAAGCCGACGTCTAAATCACCAATCTTCACCCATAAATCGTCCACAACAACTTTTTCTGTTTACAAAAGTTGATAGTTTGGTATTAAATTTTAAGAGAAGTGTTACTTTGCCACATAACTTTAAAAACAATCCATTTATTTTATTTATATTTCTTTAATCAAATTAACAATCCGTTTATTTATAAGATATCGGGGATTTGACTTATAAGTATGAGATCTAGATGTGATAGAAGTTAAAAGAAGAATGGGAAGTCAAGCTTAATGTCTTCTTTCGGTGAGGGAAGGTTTCATATGGACAAGCTCTTCTTTATTCGCTCCCATGGCAAGAGCCATACGACCAGCCTCTAAGAATCGTTTCATAGCATCTTCCATGTACCTCTTCCCTTCAATCACCGTCATTCCTTCGCTTATTTCCTTAGGAAATGTTGTGAGCATATTATCACCTTTTAGAACCGCAGCTAGTTGTACAAGCTCTTGCTGAAACTCAGTCAAAAGAGCTTTCTCATTCGCCTCTCCCATTCTTATCTTAACCGGTTCCGGTAGCGTCTCGGGACAATCAGTTCGAGGCTCCTTTCGGATCTGTAAGATGTTCTCAAAAGTCCCAGCCCATTCATCTCTCTTCGTGAGGAAAGGCGATGATAGATTGAACAGTTTCTTCACAGTCGCGGGGATTGAAGAGTGCTCGTACTCTGACGATGGAAATGGAGACCCGTTTGGTCCATGTACGACCGTTCCTTTCTCTATCCATGGGGACACTGCTATTGTTGGTACACGAATACCTAACCTGTTAAACTGAAATAGGAATGGATCCGGTCCAACTATACCGTCCGGGCTAGGAACATTGTGAACCGGTGTGGGCACGTGGTCGAAATACCCACCATGCTCGTCGTAAGTGATAATCAATAAAGTTTCGTTCCACTGTGGGCTCGCTCTTAGGGTCTCGTACACTTCCTTTATAAACTTCTGAAATGTGTAATAATATACCAAGTTTTTAATGACAAGTTTTTATAATAATATATTTTTCAAAAGTAACTATAAAATAAAAAAACAAACCTGTCCTTGGTAGACATCATGGGATGGATGATCATCAGAAGCCGGTTCCAAGAGGGTGTCCATGTAACGTTGCTCAATGACAGTGTAGGCAGGGAGCTTCCCATTCTTTGCATGATCCTTGAAAGAGTTCCCATAGCTATGGAACTTAAGCACGTATTTGAGTTTCCTTAGGCTTTGATAAAACAATACCGCCGGAATATTCTGGTAGTATATACCGAAAGAGAATTCTTCGTCGTCAAGATTGTCGAAAATGGTTCTTTGAGGATAACCCTTTGCAAGTGAGATAGGGTTGTTGCTGGTTGCTCCCGCTGATGTCCCTGAGTGCACAAACATTCGGTTTGGTTGTGTCGATGATGGAACCGATGCGAACCATCTGTTTAAAAAAAAAAAATCAGATTTATTTCATTTTAGTACAATTAGTACTATGATTTTTTTTTTTTTGGCAACTAACAGTCGTTCGCCCCCAAAAAAAAAAAATACACGAGCTAACGGCCGTTTAAAACATGAACGAACAGTCAAACAACACCACCACAATGAGAGCGCCAGTGACTATATTAACGTGCTTAACAAATAACTAAAAAATATTTTATCACGTAATAATAATCATTCCATAAACCATTTAACAAACTCATAAATATTAATAATTCTTCCATATAGAGAGAAAAAATATAATATCGTTAAAAAAGAAGAAATATCGCCGGGAAAAAAAAAGTGTAAAGGAGAATTATATTAAAAGTGGAACCATGCATCTGTTTTCTTCTTAATTTCAGAGTGGAAACAATATATTAGTACTAATGAATTTTGTTAATTAACATGAGCTAACTGTCGTTCACCCCAACAAAAAAAAAGAACATGAGCTAACGGTCGCCAATAAAAGAGAGCGCCAATAAATAATAATACTTATTATTATTACGTACTTAACAAATAACAAAAAAATATCATATTACGTAATATTAATAATACTTCTGTAAACCATTTGAAAAAATAAATAGATATTAACAATTCTTCCATATAGAGAGGAAAATGTAAAGATAGTAATAAGTAGAAATGTTGAGAAAAAAAAGTGTAAAGGAGAAATATATTTTAAAAGTGGAAGTGTGGAACCATGCATCTGTTTTTTACTTAATTTCAGAGTGGGGAAAAAAAATCAGATTTATTAATTTTTAGTTTTTAGTAATATATGTTAACGAAATTTATTTGCGTACTATGTTTATATTAATATAGTTTTTTAAGAAGAGCCAATAAAACGACAAAGAGTACGACAATAAGATTAGATGACGTAATAATAATTCCAAAAGGACAGGGAAAGTATATTATTATTACCTATCGAAAACAGCGAACTCGGAGACAAGAGACTTGTAGACAGGAACCTTATCAGGTTCGAAACCATTCATAACACTCGCCGACATGTTACCACTAGGGTCCTCGGAATATGCTTGTTGAACAAACCCGTTCATCGGTGGAGGATCCATGGATGTATCATTTGACCCGAATACTTGCTCCCTTATTGCTTGAAACGAATGACCCGGGTCCGGATCTACGTAATGCGAACCCGACCCGAATTTGATTTTTTTAGAGGAAGGGTCCGACGCTGAGACCGGGTTTGACTCCGACCCGTCCACACCGTTGATCTCCGGGTTTAGTTTCTTCATCCATCCAAGCATGTGATCGAACGATCTATTTTCCATCACCACAACTACGATGGTTTTGATCGGACTTGTTGCATGAACATGGTTGTATAAAATTGTGACGGCTAGTAGTTGAAGCAAAGCAAATGTTTTAGTAGACATTTTGTTTTGAGGGAATGGTAGATGTTGATGGTGGAGATGATAAATAGGTGGATAACTTTTTGTCTTACTCTTCTTTTTTTATTATTCGTTTTTTAAATGCTTATTTTTCTTGGTGTGTACGTTCTATATCTCTCTCCAAGCATATGTATATATATTAAAAGAAAAAAAAAAAGATTAACACAAGTACATGGAAACGAATTTTAAACAATTTTTATTGCCCAAAGAAACAATTCAGAAGGAACAAAATTTAAAAGACAATCTCACAGTTTTTATATATTAAAAGTTAAAAGAATATTCTAAAGCAGATTGTGTAAATTAGACCTCCATATATTCAAAAATCCAGAAAAATTAATTACCATATACAAAGTTAGCATATAATAATGATAAATAATTGTAAGCCCTTTAACAAAAAAAATATAAATACTAATGATAAATTGACAAGTGAAAATTTGTGAATAAATGACAGTGATAAAAAAAGATGTCAAACATATCTTTGGATTATGAAGGTTATAAAAGATTAGCACAAGTACATGTAAATGACTTTTAAACAAGCAATTCAATATTAACACACCAAAGAAAGATATGTTAAATTTTATAAGCAAATTAAAACTCATCTAGAGATTTATTGAAAAGCATTGAAGAAAATAACTATTTTTTAATAAATAAACTTTTTGTCATCTAGAAAAAGTTTACATAAAATAACTTGGTTATGTAGGTTCGAGCTACACATTTGAGCTTTAAAATTGAACTTATAAACAATAAGAGAAAGAGAGAAATTAGAACACAAATTTAGAACATGTTAATCTCATATAACAAATTAGAGAGAACAAATCATTATTAATTTAGGAAACTTCACAATAGAAAGAAATTCAGGATAATTTGATTCGAAAGCATGACAATATATCCTTTTATCTAGGATAGTCTTCATCGCCCAAATTAAAGTTTCCAACATAGAGTGAAGTGAAAAAGAGTTTCTTCGATGATACTTGCCTCTAATAATATGGCCTAACCCTATACTGTAAACAAACCCCTCATCAAACAAAAGTGGGATAAGAAGAGCTTTCTAAAAACCATCAATTTAACACCTTATGGTTTGAGAGTACCAATCTGGTGGAGTTATTTCTCAAATTTCTCTGTTTTTCAAGTCGAATGATCACTACGAGCATGATTCAAACTATGGGGGCCAGGAGGGGTAGTTTGGTTCCCATCTTTCCATAAAATACAACTAGATCATAACCCGTGCTGGAAACAGCACGGATGAAATTTTAATTTTTAAATATTTATATAAAGTTAGATTATTGTTTGTTTTATAGTACAATTTTAATAATTCTTACATAATACAATGACATATAAAGTTTTTATTTTATTTTATTTTGTTTGATGAGAAAATATTAGGAGTGGAGTACATTTTTTCAGTTTAGTATCGTTTTTTTTGTTTTGTAGAAAGTGAAACCATATAGAAACCGTATGTAAATCGGTTTAGATACAGTTCGATTTTTACGGTTTTTTACGTTTTTTTTGGTTAAAAATAAAATGTATGTATTTGATATATGCTAGTAGTAAGTGAAAAAAATTGCGTATATAATAAACATATTTTGGTATATAATAAGATTAAATTCAACCCGTGCGTACCTATATTTTTATTTTAGAATCCCAATGAAAAAATTGTGTGCACAATCCATCATTCATTATTTTCATATATACTTATGGAATCAAAATTTTAAATATTTAGAGGTGTCAAACCTTATTTAACTCATCTCATCATATAATCTTAACATGGTTTCGGTTATAAAGATCATAACTCTTTTTATCATATAATACATTACATTTAACATGCTGCTTGCTATAAATATTTTAAATATTTATGCTTTAAAAATGAAATTAGAGTTTTTATAACTTTTATTTTTGATTTATTAAATATTTATGATATTCTTTAAAATATTATATTAAACTATTTTTAAATTTTTCCAAATTAAAATATTTTTTTATTTTTGATTGTAGAATATAAAATTAAGAATTTTTAAAAAATAATTGTATGAACTTAAATATAAATATTCAAATAGTTATAAGGATCTAACTCATTCCATCATATAATACATTATATTTAACCCACCGTCTATTATAAATATTTTTTAAATATATTTGTTTTAAGAAAACCAAATTTGTGTATGTATAATTTTTATTTTTTATTTATTAAGTATTGATGATATTTGTTTTTAAATATCAAGTAAAACTATTTTTAAATATTCCAAATTAAAATATTTAAAATTTTATCGTAGTATATAAAATTATATATTTTAAAAATATATATGAAATTGAATATAATTACTCAAATTCTGACCCGTTATTCAGGCGGAATTTTGGTTGAATTTATTTTTGTTTAAAAGAAATATATTATCCAAGTTTAAATTTTTGACTCTTTAAATTTGTTTTCATAAATTGAATAATTTATATTCGTTTTTAAAATTCAAATCATGGGATATGCGGAAAAAAATATATTTTTTTTAATTATATGGATGATATGATGATTTATTTGTTTCACAATAATAGAATCATATAAAGATGAGAGGTAAAATATAATGATTAATAACAAATTAATAGGGTAAGTAAGATATCAAATCTTATATATTTATTTTGATTGGTCATTTAAAAATAATAATAATAATGTATTTTTCGTTTTTATAATTAAATTAAATTAACTAAATTGTATAAATTGACTTGTTTATCCTTAATGAGATGAATTAATTTACTCTTTGAAATTTTATCTCTAATGGCATTTTTAAGTAAATTCTTACAAAAGGAAATGTTAGTTAAGGGTATCTTATAAAGTGTACTCCCCAAATAATAGTATAGGATGTCTATGGGAAACTATTTTACCCTTCCTTCTCTCCAGACCAAAACAATATTTAAAATAAAAACTTCAAATTTGTTAATATGGCTCGTTAGGAAGCTATCAACAATTATTATCACACCTTATTTCTCGTTGATTTTATCCTGAGGCGACCACCATAGAACCTAAATTTATCTTCTAGATGAAGTGTTTGAGTTTTGGTGGTACTCTAATTTTCCTTTCTTGTGCTTTTAAAACATTACAATTCATATCTTAGTCATTAACGCCTTCCAGAGACTGTGCGAGCCATTATATATCTCTAGATTTTGTATAATGTTATATTAATATGCCATGCTTATAAGTCTGATTTCTCGCAATTACAATAGCCAAGGCTAAGAGGATCAAATTACCACCTAACAGTCGATTCAAGAAGTTTTGGACAAGGAAAGCATTCAAAAATCTATTAGGGATGATATTAGGCGTTTTTCAACCCCAACAAATTGCGCGGTGCGTTTTTATTTTACAACAAAGACCTAATATTATTTTTTACTTCAGTGTCTAAAATATTCAAAAAACTACACAAACTCTGTAATTTGTGTCTAAATCAGAGTTGACTTAGTTAGTCAACCGCTGACTCAGCTGACACTGACATTGACATCACTTTTCTTAACAAATTGACGTCGTTTTGATCGTATGAGTCGAGAAACTCAAATTAATCGGCGATGTTTTAAGTCATTTTAAACCTAAAAATATTAATAACAAAAATCTGTAAAAAAGAATTCTGACTTTTTTACATTCTTTTTATTATTAGAAACAAATATTATTAATACTGTTCATTATAAAACGACTTAAATCGATGTTGGTTTGAGTTCTAGACTCACACGATCAAAACAACGTCATTTTATTAAGAATAATGACATGTCATTGCCACCGTGTCAGGTGAATCAGCAGTTAACTAACTCATATTTAGGTCAACTATGTTTTAGACAAAAATTAAAGAGTTTGGACAGTTTTTTTTTTGAATGTTTGAAGCGCTTAGGTAGGAAACAACATCGGGATCTTTATTGAGGTATAAAAATACATCCCATAGTTTGTTTGGATTGAAAAATATTTTTCTCAGATGATGTCTATCAAGTCCAATCCACTTTAAGCCTAATAAAGCCCAAAGTAATGTCTCATTTTTGTAGTTAAAAAGATGAACCAAATTGAAGTTCAAGAGTCAATTTGGAGACATGCAGAACACTATAATTAGTTAAGTTTCCATTTAATTCACTATATTTATCTCTTTTAGATTTCAATAAAATAAATTTTGCTTTAACAAGGTTTATTTTCTTTTATATTCATGTAATCTCCTTCGTTGGAGCAGATAGATATCCAATTTTTAATCAAATATTCTATTTGTGAGAGTGAATAAATTATCCTTCAGTGTGTAATATCCGTGATAATCAACCTGCTTATCAAATGATCCATGCATCCCCTTTTTTGGCGCCTTGCTGCCGAAATTTGTAGTTTCGTTGTGAGGGTATTGGATCTTGATTTTTAATATAACCTAGGTTTGTGATCAGTGAGTTATTTGGCTTGTGGACTTATATAATCCATTAACCTTCTTAGAGACAAACTCCCCAAGATCTTCCAAAATATTCAAATTTAGAAACAATTCTAGCAACCAGATTTGTATCAGGACGTGCTTTTAATCAATATCATCTGGTTTTAGAAGCGACTATATATCGTTTTGATAGAAATCTTGAATATTCCCTATTTATCTAACCACTAAACCTTTTCCAAGCATAATTAAATAGTTTACTCTTTCAGTCATTTAAACTCTACAAAATATCCAAGTATATGTTTCCTATAAAATTTTTTAATAAAACATTTCATTACTAAATAGCTAGATTTTTAACTAGAGTTGATGTTATAAAAAATATATAAACTATGTCCCAAATTTTATCAAACTAAATTAGTTAATTTTTTTCTGGGAAAATTGGATATAAAGGAAACTTAATTAAACTATTGTCCATTTATGCATTCTATTGGTCATATGCTTTAATATTGGTCATATATGCTTTAATATAATTAAAATCCCATTATATCCCTAGTTTTTTTAACAGGGTATGTTAACCCACTTAATATCATGCCTAATATGGCCAGGTCAACGAAAATTTGGTATTTATTTGGAAAGTCAACATAAGTTTGATATTTATTTCGTTTCGTTGGGAGTTGAGGATTTCAATCAACGTTTTCAATAAGTTGGGGATTTTAATGACATTTTTCCCAAAAAAAAATCCAAAATTAATTAAATTTCTTTCTAAAAACAATTTGGAAAATAACATTGATTTACTTTCCAATTTTTTTTTCCCGTAGATAACTACATATCCTCCTTTGATTGTTTTTTCCCTTTTTTTGACAGCATCTTTTTCTTCAATTATTTTGACGACAACTTCTTCTTCTTTGATTAGTATTTTGATTAGTATAGCGACTATACATAATGACGACAACTTCTTCTTCTTTGATTCTTCACTTATTTTGAAGGCAACTTCTTCTCTTTTGGTAGTTTTCTAGATTTCTTCAATTCTTCGGAGTTTTTGTATCCAAGTAAAAATTCTAGATTGGATTATTGATTTGTAGTGTTGTGTTGTTTCTAAAAATCTAATAAAACAAGTTTAGGTTTTCATCTCTCGTGTGTGTCTCGCTCTCTCATGTCCTATTCCTATGTTACTTTGTCTCTTTGTCTCGTACATATGACTCTTTCCAAGTCATTCTAAAACAAAGCACTTTTGGTTATAACATAAACGTTAATTTGTTACTTTTTCTTTTGCACTAGGTAAAGTAAGAAGCAAATTCTAACAATTTTATCACTTGACTTGCTTTCATTATCTTCCTTTGTTACTAAAACTTAATTTGATTACATAATTTTGGGCCTTTTGGACTTATTTTGTTGATTGTTGACATTTACAGAGAACTTTGCATTACATACTCCGAAGATTTCATGATTTTAGATATTTTCATATTTTAAGATTGTTTTTGCTTTTGTATAAACATAGAAAATGAGTGTCCAAAACGTCTACCGATTGTCATTTACTTTGCATTACATACTAAATTACATAGAATTTGTTTTCTAATTTTGTAGGATATATAGGAAAAATATAAGAATGTGGTTTCTAACAATTTTAGAACATGAGTAAATATTCGAAAATATATTCCAATTTTTCTCGAAGAAAGAGCAAAGTATAGAATATGTATTCTAAATTTCGTATAAATTAGCTATCTAAATACCGTAGAACAGAAATGCGTTGTAAATTTCGTAGAACATATAGAGTGCATAGAATACATTATCTTAATTTTATAGAACATGTGCAATGGAATACACATTCTAAATTCCGAAAGTGTATTCTAAACTTCTTAGATTATATTTTATTTATCCACAACGGCAACAAAAACAGCAAACTTCCGACGTTATAAGTATCCTCATGATTCTTCTTCATTTGCCTACAAATAGTTCTAAATTTTATTTAAAAAACTAATTAAATCAAATACAAAGGGTAAATTAGGAATATGTGACATTTACTCATAGAATGCATAGATGGACGATAGTTTAATTATTTATCCTTTATATCTAATTTTTCCTTTTTTTTCTTAGTTTATCTCTCTTAAGAATTTAATGATCACTAGAATCTTTTTGGAAATAAAAATCTAAACAATATATAATAAGCATAAATTTATGTAGCATCGTTGTAGTTTATTGTTTTTTTTTAGAATGTACAGTATTATAAAATAGTTTTTTGTTGTTTAGATGATATTTATGAAAAATATAATACAAACCAACAGATTTTTAAAATAAATTCATACCAAACTTAGAACATAATATCAACTAGGATCCTAGAAATTATGATTGTTAAAACTGGGCCAAATCCTATTGATATCAAATGATGTTGCATTAATATTACCTTCTCTAGCGGTTGTTTCATTAGGAGATGGCTCTTGGCAGAGACGATCATTTGTCGTTGTAGTGTTGTCTCTCCTGTAAAATTGTAAGTTGTTAATGTTACCTCCTTCCTCTTGTATTCCCAGCTCTTGTCTCATGAAATCAAAAGGGTATTGTCTTGGTTGATTCATAGCCATTATTGGATTATTGTTCATGTTCTCATGTTGTAATGGTTGAGTGGCAGATCCAACCAAATCATGGAAAGTCATCACTTGGGGGCAAACTGACATCATCTCCAAATTAGGGTTCCCATTGCTACTGCTTCCTTGGTATGGATAGAAGCCTCTAGGGTTTGGATTTCCATGCCCAATTTGCTGGTCAATTACAGGTTTAGGCGGTTCGGGTGTTGGAAACCATTGATCTATTAAGTAATAACTTTTATTCTCCCTCAAACTATCAATGTTAATTATTCTTGTTGCTTCATCTGTGTTTCCTGCTCTCTCATCATCTTGATCACCTCTTAAAAAAGCGTCATTTGTGGTGATCTTAAACTGTTCGACTTGCGCCTCAAATGGAAGCACGGGTAGATCACGAAGAGGAGAAAACTGCATGAAATCTAGCTTCTTCCTAAGAGATATGATATTATCCCTTGAGAAAGATAGTAATGTATAGATCTCATTTAAGTTAAGATCATCGATTGTACGACCGCATTGTAGTTGCATCATCAACTCATTAGTGACATACTCTTTATTCTTTTGACAACTCTTTATCAATTTTTCATTAGCCTTATTTGTCTTCTCATTTAGATATAATTCGACATCCATCTCTTTCTTAATATGCTCGTACCTCGGTAAAGCAAAGAAATTGTCTAGGAGGCCACGAGCCGTCTCAACTGATGGCCACACCATTGGCTCAGCTTCATTAGGACTGAAAATGATTATGCAAGCATTTATATCACACAATATGGATAGTTCCTTCACTTTTTTCAGTAACCCTACCCTCCTTGTTCTTAAACTTATTGCTCTTGCATTGTCATTCTCTACCCATGCAAGTTTTATATTTTTTCTTGTCATCGTCACTTTTTGATTTTAATCTTTCTCTTTTAAAATTAAAATTGTTGTTGGGTATGTGATGAAAGAACAACGCGGGAATTCATTTATATAGAGTTGAAGTAAATGGGTAAGATTTTGGACACTAATTTTAGTCAAAAGAAAGAGACAATGTGAATGATTGGTAAAGATGTAAAATTAATTACTATTTCTTAAAAAGTGTTGACTGTTTCTTGGGGGTGGTTAAGATAAACCGAACCTTTTCTATCTAAACCAAATGGAGAATATATATCCAAAAACTACAAAAATCTTTGATTTGGTTAAAATATTTATTTTTAAATATCATTAATAACTTAACCGATTTCAAACCAAAATGAAATAAAAAAATTGTTTCTAAATAGTAAGCATAACTTGCTTGAGAATTGAATTCAAAGCTAAATTAAAATTCTACCAAACTATATTAGTATACCAAAACTGAAACCTGGATTAAACCACCAACATGTTAGAATCTCTATGTGGTTGTATTATTACTACATGGAATCAAAACTAAATTTCTGTCCAAATTTGTAATCCCAGTCAATATTCTGAATTAATGAGTTAATGAACTGTTCTCTCATTATTTAATGCTAAAAGATATATTGACCATATTATTTTCATTATTGTGTATTAGGTTAATTAGTATTGTTTGACAATTATTTTGGAAATTAAATATTGACTATACATTTCCTTTATAAAAATTATTTTAACATTTTCATACAAATAATTTTTTTTTTAAATGTTATACCATATTTGTACACAAAGTTTACTTTTGAATTCTTTACTTATTTTTATTTTTTAGTTTAAATGTTTTCTTATCAAACCTATATTAAGATTATGAAATGATATTGATATGTTCAAGAAAGTCTAAAATTTTTAATTTAAAAGAATGATACTAATATATTTTTAAATAGTGGACATCTCTCATCATTTTATTTTTGTTTATCGATTTTGTTTTTTTGGCTTCTCGTTGTGGTGATGTTTGTGAATGATGGTTCTTCTTAAATAGTTGAAGGTTCTTTTTGACTCGGAATGTTTGTGAATTCTTTTTTCCAGGATTTTGTTTCTTAGCTTTGGTTTGTATCTGAACTACTCTAATTTTTTTTTTTTTTTTTTCTGATTTCAATAATACTGAGACGCTAAAAACCATAAATCTAGGCTTTGTTTAAATAATGTTATTAGTTTTTCATCAAAATAATGTTATTAATTTGATTACTCAGATAATCATGAAACATTTGATGTCATATATACATATTCGCAAAAGTATTGTGATTTTTCAGATTGACCAAATTTAATTTTGTATTGATCATTCATACAAAAAAAAATTTTGTATTGGTCGGGTACAAAATCAAAACGTGTTTGCAAAAATATAACAAGCCCGAGCCCGGCTCGGCGGCTCACAGAAGTTTGCTTCTTCTTCCATAAATGGTATCAAGGTTTTGAACCTTGTTAGAACTTCTCCACTATATATAAGAGGAGTTTTCACTTCAAGTTCCAATGTTGGACTTTAGACTTAATGTTTAAATTTATAGTTTCCAAGCAACCCTTTAGACCTTCATTTCTCATACACTACGTTAACTCGTTAATGAAATCCATCTATGAACAAAAAAAAAAAGAGTACACTACGTTAATACGTTATTGTGTTCGCATTGAGGAATCCACTGCTAATATGCTTATTCCGATAAAGGAATTCACTAGAAAACAACCGACGCAACATATCTAAAATTGAGTTTCAACAAACATTTGCAGCATCAACGGTTCCAAAATAGTCAATGGAGCTGACATTGAGCACTTATAAATTCAAAATTACAAGTAGACGATTAGGTGTTCCGCTTGTAGAAAACAAAATAAATTTTAAGGTTATAACTTCTAAGTAAATTTCAGATTAGCATCATTTACTCATCTCAGTATCAATGAGATTTGCACGAAATTACAACTTTAAATTTAATACTAATTTCTAAAAACAAAATATACTCTCTGTATTGTATTAAGTGTTGTTTTAGAATTCAAATATTATTTTATATTAAACTTTTCAATACAGATTTTGGAAGTAAACGTCTGGCAATCCTCCTCCTCTAAGCTAGTTTTTGGGTATGAGTTAGGCATACTAATACGATATCAGAGTCAGGTTCCAATCTTCTCAATTGTAAGCTATTAGCCGTGGATGTCCAGTCCACAAACTTCATACTTCACTTGTCCAATCCCGAGCGTGAAGGGGGTGTATTAGAATCCCACATTAGAAGTTGGCAAAAATTCTTGGACAGTATATAAATATGTGACAATCCTAAATTAGGTCCATGCTGAGCTGGCAACTGACGAGAAAGCTGTTCAAGCTGTTGAAGTGGATAAGATCATACCGTTAGTCTGTTAATAGAGAAAAGATTTTAGGACATTGAGTGTAGAAATACAACTACCTGTAAAGTCATTCTTTCTGTTTGGCATTGTTAGAAAAGATTATGTTCTTATCAACGTGCTAACAGAGTTGTTCAAATAAGTAATTCAGCTGAAGAAGTTACGACACTCAAGGAGCAGATTATTTAGATTCAACAAAAGATAACGAAGATCAAAGATATGGAGAAATTTGGCTTATACATGCATTTAATAAGCCACAAGTTTAAACTTTAAACACAAAATATAAAGAAGGGACCAGTTGTTTGGATATCGTCTACGACCCCGTGTAGACAGTAACAACCACAAATCCTGTCATCAGACCGTAATTTTCACTGTTGGTCCAAGAAAACCACAAATATTTTCTACTTTCTCATCAAACATTTACAGACGACAGTATTTCTCTATAGAAAAAAATAAAAAAGCAAGGAAATGATTGAACTTTACAAAAGGATATACAAAAGGAAGAAATGGTCAAGGATGCGAAGGTGGAGGAGGAGCGGTAAGAGCGTAAGTGAGACTGTTGGATGAGTTTTCAATAAAGCCAGCCACTCCTGCCGCTGATTGTGTATTTGATGGCAGGAACAAGTCGTGCTTTTGGTCTTTATATGCACTCCATACCTGTGAGAAATCCATTTGGGGGTTAAAATAAAAAACACTTTGTTGAACAAGACTTTATTCGTAGTGTTTAGATATCACAACTTACTTCTGACGCATCAAGTATCTCACGCACTTTTGAGCAATGTGCTCCTTCTGTTGCAAAACCATGCAATACCTGAGACACAGAAATTATTTCATCAATCACATGTGTAACAAACATCTCGCTAACAAATTCAACACTAACCTCAACTGCAAGCACCCGCCCGATTGATGCTTCCGATTCATTCCATTTCAAGTGAGAACTGAGCCCGTACCTTCCCCCCGTCCTCCAGTCAAGCAACCCAAGAAGGACCTCAATAAGACCAACCCTACCAATTTTCAATCATTTGTATCAGCCAAGTAGATATATCCCATTCAAAAATGGACCCAAATTTCAAGCCTTGTACCCACTTCTTCTAAACGACTATTTTCCACAATTTTATTCTGTAACTAGGTATTGTCAGATTAACACTTCAGCAGTCTTAGCAGAGTTTGCATTTAGAGATAATTAAGATGTGAGTACCCGTCAGCTTGAGTACCAAAGACATTATCATTTAGTAACAGGATTACTCACTTTAGACCCTGCGCAACAAGCGCATCTCTGGCCCGATTTCCAGCCACAACAACACGCTTAAGTGTCTCAAGTGCTAAAATGCTTCCACCAAGCCATCCTATTGCTTTCATGAGAAGTGGAACCACCTGGTGTTTAATCAACTCAAGAGTCATTACACATGTCATAGGTAACACCAACTAGTTTCAATTTTTACCAGCGTGTGCTTAGTAGGAGGAGAGAAATAGAGTAAAGAACCTGGGCATTTCCAGCACTAGTTGCAGCCATTGCTTCAGCACATGCGGTACTAGCTGCAAGTTGATGAAGCACACGTAAACAACTAAGGCGCACGCGTTCTTGAGGGGTTTGCCCAGGTAGACTTGAGGGATCAGCAGACTCATTCACTCCATCAGATCCAATTTCTTCAGCCTTCACTTCGCCAGAAGACATTGTTTCCCGCCTCCCCTCATACGCCACAGCAGCGACAAGTTTCGGGACATACCCGAGATATCCTATGTGATCTGCAAGTGCAGGATGCACACGCAACAACGAAACCAATGCAGCAGAGAGAAGGAGAGGGAGCTCAGGGTCAACAGGATGTTGTTCATAATGTGTTGCCGCCATTGCTGACAAATACTGATCCAGTAGTCCTTCCAAGAATCGTTTTGGATTTCTCAGAGGAAATTTTGGATCTTTTAAGAAAAGCCTGACATTGACTCCACCAACCTAGACAGAGAGAAAAATTTCATCAATAACTATTCTTCAACGCAAAGGATCTCTTTCCCTATTGATCTATATATTGGTTTAAATAAATAAAAATAACCTGTAGCTCGTATCTCATTTCTGGTTGACCAGATGACTGCTCTGGTACGTCCCATTCAATAACAGAACCCTTCTGTTGTTCACGATAAATATCTGATGCCATGGTTGCAATCTGTGCGGATAAAGATGCTGCCATTGCTGGTGTCCACACAAGTTCTGGAGTCTCTGTGGTCCGCTCAAGCGCATGTACAACAGCCTCCCCAGGTCCATCACGAATTATAGATACAAGACCGTCCGGAAGGAATCTCACGAGTGTGATAGCAACTCTAGGCCCATGCATTGGTTGTGCGACGAGCTTACCCAACAAAGAAGCCGCTGCAGCTCTTTGCTGCAAGGGAATATCTTCTGCACAAGACCATTTTGTGTCATTGACTCCATTGTATGTAATCAGAAAGCCAATGGGAAAAGAAAAGAGTTCAGAATGATTACTTTGCAAAGGCAATAAAAGTTCCAGAATATATACTACTCCACCATGTTTTGCAGCAGCCCAAGCAAGTTCTGGTGTGCTTGCCAAAGCATAAAGAACATGGAGAGCACCCTCGCGAAAAGAAGGTGCAGAATGAAGCATTTGTAAGAGGAGAAGAAGACTAGATCCATCAGATACCATCGTCTCCAAGCAAGGAGCATAAGCAGTTAGACGAGAGAGGACGTTCAGGCAGAGTTTTGGAATATCTGTTTTTGATGCAATGGACACCGAAAAACATTCAAAGAGAGGTAATAGTCTCTCCTTAGACGAAAACACTGAAGCCAGATCTGGATACTTTGTAAGCAAGTTCTGAAAAAAGAGGCAAAGAAAAAGGTCAGACATGCTGAATTCTATGATATCTACACATTCACATGCGCCATATGATTACCTGAAGAGCAGTCAATCCTAATTGGAGGTGATCAATCAGAAAACATTCTTCCTTCTTCCCCTCAGATGATGGCTGATGATCGGAATGTTCTTCAATCAATGACGGTTCTACGACGCTACTTTGAAGTTCCGGAGTATCATTAGATGAGCTGCCGTCTTCGATCAAATTTTGGTCCTCGGAGACAGAGGGCAACTCAGTATGCACTAATGATGATATAAAGTCGATCAGAGCATTGCAGAATGCTTCTGGTTCACTGATCTCTGAGTCGGGCTGATCATTATAGACCTTCAAGTAAACATTGCCAATAAAGACCTCTTTTGACAGTGCGTCATATGAAAAAGATTGAGCAGTTTTCAGATCATATGAACCATCGGGGCACTGGCAGGTGCGTTGTTCATCCACAAAATTTAAAAGCTCTGATCGAGTTGCAGAGTTCCAGATAATCTGTCAAACAAAAATTTGATACAATTATAGTCTATGCACCATAAGCTTAACATGCTTTTAACACTCAATGAAGTGTTCATCAAGATTTCGTATGAGCGTGTAGAGAAATATCTTAAGAAATAGAAATTCTGCAATATGATGGCATCATACATATCTTTTTTATTAGAGATACAAAAACACAAGACCAAATATACATGGAAATGTGAATTCTAAAGATGTTTATGCACCATTCATTTCAATATCCTGCTCAGACAAACAATTCAGTAAAAAGAAAATGTTTACCTCCGGTGTCTCCAAATTTGTGTTAAGTTTGGATAACAAATCCTTGGCAACTTCATCTTTCAACAAACTAGCAAGTTTTGGAGTCAGTAATCCTCTGATAACATCAGCCGCAGCAGCATTGTAAGGTGTCAAACTCTCATCTGCACATAGTCCACTAAGCCTTGATAGGGCTTGCGATGCTTGTAAGGCATGCTCATTCTTGGCAATTTGAATGCTAACTCCAACCCCATGAGACTCGACAGAATTAGATTCCTCTACAGTTGAGTCATACTGTAGTAATAATGGGAGAATATACCTGATCAAACAGACACACAAATCGAAAGGAGCACAGCCGTTAATCATACTTGTCAGAAGCAAAGGTCCAAATGAGTGTAAGAAAGATACAAAGTTAAGTTGGAAAACTGTGCTGCTGACTATTAGATCGCTATGCCTTCATAATGATTATATAGACATTATACATTGAATTTTACATGCATTGACAGTGATGCCACCAAGATTATGTCTTGTAATTGATCAAAAACATATTAACGGCGACAAACAGAACAAGAATATAGCTCACCATAAGGCACCAGCCTTTAGCAGACCATGCTGAAGTTCAGGGAAGACAGAAACCTTGGCAATAGACTGGAGAGCAGCATCAACGGCTGCAGGCACAAGTTCTAGTTCCGTACAGTGCACAATGTCATCAATCAGACTGGGTAACTCTAGAAATCCAGCCCTTGCACTCTCAAACTGACTTATTACAGAAAGTGTACGCATTACATTTGTGACAATGATTGCAGCTGGTTCGTGTTGTGAAGTTGTTGGCTGAACCACACACATGCAGCGAGAAAGAAGAGTCGATAGAAGCTGCACACCACCATCTCTCACTAATTCTTCACCATTCAACGACGAGGCAGCACAGCTACACAGAAGATAGGAAAATATTATAGATAGCATTGAAGGAATGGAAATAAATAAACATAGAATTGCACAGTTTTAGCAAGAGAAATAAGTACGTTAACGAAACAAGCTCAGATGCTGCAACAAGAAGAGGGGATCTATCATTAGATAGAAAGTTGTTGTCATCCTTGTCCACTGTAACTGCATCAAGTAACATCGGATAGCCAGCATATTTGAATGGCCGTAACACATGTCCATAACGTCGATATAAGATGCACTGCGCTTTCAGTAAAAGCAGCAACCTCCACGGCTGAGGACCTTGCAATCCTTGCATTGTTGCCTATAAGCAGAAGAACGGATATGTATAGTATGATAAATATGAGATCTAGAGACAGAAATATATATATAAACACAATCATATTTATGGACCTAAAACACTAATCTACAGTGGAATAGTTTCAGAGATGGGAGTACACGATAAAATTCTTAAATACAAATCGACTATGTTCTTAGCGGAACTAAATGATAATTGATAACTTCATGTACATACTATGATTAAACACTTGTTTGACAAGCAAACACCGAAAAAGGAAAAAGTTAACCAATGATATCTCTACTAATAAGAACACAGCAACATTATGAAGGAGAACTCAATTGCTACATATAGCATTCATCAAATAACTTGAACATAAAATAACTGCTGGTATCCAAGAATTATGCACTTTTCAACATATAATGTGACCATCCAATGGTCCAATGTTCTAAAAGACGGGTACAATAACAGACAAAGATGGTAAACATATAATTGAAGAAAACATCAAATAACAGATAATAATCAGAACTTTGTAGACGTACCTGTAGGCATTCATAAGCTTTTTGAACAGCCAGGAACTTTTCTCTTCCTTCTGGATTCTTGTCAGGATGGTATCTCATCGCAAGCTTCCTGTACTGGCGCTTAAGTTTCTCTTCATCAAGGTTTTGAATTTGTTTGGATATATTAGATATTTCCTCATTCAACTCAACTGAAGCAGCCCAGTTTAGGTCATCACTTGATGCATCATTCAGGGATATTTCTAGAATTTTGCAAGCTTCTCCTTCAGAAAGATCCATGGGTTTCCTAGTCAACTCTTCACGCCACATCACAAGTAATGATTGTAAGAACTCGACATGTTCAACAATCGGCCAATTAGGAAATCGAATCTCATCACATAAATTTCTGAGATAATAACGGTGACACCACATCTCATCTCTAAGTTCTGGATACGTAACAGGTGGCATGGGAGCATAATCATAGAGAGAATGGCAGTGCTGTGACAATTTCTGAGGATAGTCACCAAGATGCTGCAAAACCTGAGGAAATAGAAACGAGAATTAAAACTGAATAATTGAAAGTGATAGTTTACAGATAGTCTTCAAGAAAATGACCTAAAGCCCACAGTAGTGAATATGTAAATACCTGACATATAAGATTTTCTGCTCGCATTTTATGTGTCCATATAATCTCCGGAGTATCGGAATCAGAAACCATGCCAGCTGCAAACGCAGCTGGTCCACTGCGCTCTAATACATATAATAAGGACTCTGGGAGAAGACCACCCAATACGCTTCTTTTAGCCAGGGGCAGAGAGGAGGAAACAGTAGCTTCTTCCCCACCATGAAAAGCTTGATGCACATGGGTGACCGAGAAGAGTTGTGCAATTGAGTAAAGATTGGATCCAGGGTAAGCAAGGGCAAAGTAAAAGGCCCCTGTACTGTACAGGCGGATCATCGCCTTGGAGTTTCTGGTAACAACGTCTTTTAAAAGAGCAGCACCAGCCTCCACAATAACTGGTTCGCCAGAGAGCAGAGCCTTTTCCAAATTTTAGAAAGACATCAGATTAACATAGGGTCATAATAAACAGTTTTTGGTCAAGGGGAAAAAAAAAAAAACAGCTCAGATTACAACTCCCAGTTTTCCGATGAAGGAAAATTAAATGAGCAGAATTTTCAAATACTGACCGATTATTTTGCAACTCATCTCTAAGATAATACTGAAAACTAGCACATATACAGCAGGCGTGCCTAATGCCATTAAATAGTAGGGGAACTAGGAACCTTGGCTCAGCTTAATAACACCTACCAAACACATCATAGATGCAGCTAGAAGAAGAATTATGGAGAGAAAGAAAGACATTACCTGAGCATGTGAGGAAGACAACGTGTACTAGACAAGATACGTTTTACTCTTGGTGTTGGAGTTACAATCTCTCCAGCGTCATCCAAATCTGAATGTGCCGAAACCATGCTATGTAATATGGACAATGCAGCATCCCCTACCTGCATAGTGTTTTATCAATTAGAATAAGTATTGCATAAACATGAAGGAATGAAACAGAGGAAAAAGGTAATGGACATGAAGAGCATTTGCCTTTTGGGATGTTAAGAATGATAAAATGAAATGTCCATAGCCAGTCACACATAAAATTAACCGTAAAGCTTAACCTGAGTAGGTGTGAGGACTGGAACTCGAACAGCTACTGCCCATCTAAGTTCACGGATATCACGCAATTTCTTCCAGTCTAACATTCCTAAAGCCCGACACTTAGTTGTCCAGTCAATATCCTTTTTGGACCATAAACTTCTGATGACGTCCTTCTCTACAGGTCCCACTTCTGCACCACCTTTGTCTATGTACATCCATTCCTTAGGTGGTTCCATAAATGCAGTAGCAGCAATTAAATTGGACTGTAATGGAATAGGAGTCCTCTCCGAGTTTTCATGAACAACAGTCAGCAGATCTACAGCTAGGACACAACCACCAACCACAACACAACCTTCACGTTTAACAAGACCTTAACTAGAGCCTGCAGGTACGAGGAAAAGGTAAGCAACCAAGCATGAAAAGATATCTCCAGAATGATTTTGTATGTGACGACGTAATGCATACATCAAAATCTAGTGAAAATAAGTGGAGGAACAAGAATAACTAGAATTAAAAGAACAAGAAAGCAATATTTTAAATAGTTAGTGATACCTTCAGGAGAAGTAGTAGGCGATGCCTCAAAGCTCTATCATTCGTCCTATCTATCAGTGTTGTAATATGTGCAGTGCCTTCAAAAGGACCTATTGTGTTGTAGTGTTGCTCATAGACAATCGCCATCGCTCTTGCACAAAGCTCCCTAACAGAAGCTCCTCCCCCTCCACCAAAACCATCAAGCCTACTCATATCACACCAGTCGCCTGATGAACCCAATTCATCTGGAACAGCACCATCAATAGTAAGCCCCATATCAGCATCACACTGGAAACGATGATAGAGCGCCCTGAAAAAAGCAACTGGATCACGGAGAGGGAAAATCTTGTGCCTTGCCAGCGTTCCCACTTTCAAGCAATAAGCGTAGGTAATATTGACCCACACAAACTTCTTTTGACAAGCTACGATAACTAACAGAGAACTCAGAATAGTTCCAAGATATACGTGGGACAGTCTCCTGGCCAGTTGTGGCCTCGACATCACTGGGGAATATCTTCTGTGCGCTCTTTCTCGACATCTAGGTTGTGAACCTCAGCCTTCAAAGCTTCCCTTAATTCTTGCCTTGTACGCTCATTCCATATGAGATCTGCACGATTATGATCAAGGCCAAAGGCTCGCCAAAACTCACGCCAATTTAGAAGGAGCTTTCCGGAACCTACAGGTGTACTTTCTACAATAACTTGAGCAGGTGCTGGAAGCACTGAATTCTGGATGCCATACAAGTTTGGGTCAGAACCAACACATCGGATGCATTAGTCTCAGGTTGCTCATGCCCATTTGCATTTGTGGTGATTGAAGCAAATGCTGGATAGCCATTTTGTGAAACCCCAGCAGTAGTACTGTCACCACCTGGAAAAGCAGAAGCATGAAGATTCGAAGCTTCAGAAGAAGAATCTGCAACACGCCTTTGAAAGTTATCGGGTACACTAGCATTTGCACTCATCTGTTTTGCTACATCGCCAGTCTCAACATTATTACCAGGGGGAAGAGGAATATCTTGAGCACCCATTCCCTTAGCTATACGACCTCTTCTCTGCTGAAGTAATCTTTTCTGCCGCCTATTTGTTGACGAACCTTCTTGATCTGTATCATCGACAACATCATCGGGACGTGTATGCAAATATGCAACAAGCCCAGGTGGCAGAACTCGAGACAGTAGATCCAAGCTGGTTGGTAAGAATCTGCCCAGAGTGCCACAAGCTGCCTACTTACCTCGAGCCGCTCACTGGCAGGAAGGGAAAATGCATTCAATAAATGTCTCAACAAAGCACCATCACGCAAAGCAGCATCACGCATTGACTCTGCAGCAATTGCATCTTCTTCAGCTATTGTACGCATTATAACAGCAATGATTTCCCTAACACTTTCTGCAGGATGTGCAAAGAGTGCAAAATAAACGACGTCGTAGGGCAGCTATTTGTCGTAACAATTCTACAAAAACAGGTGTATTGGGTAGTCTCTCCATGTGGATCACAAACCATAGCCTCAAAGACTTCAACAATCGCCATGGAAAACAGAGGTGAGACTGACATGGTTTCAACCGATTGACCAGGATAGTAACATACCCTGTTGAGCAAACAAAACAGACTTGGTATGCATGATAGTTGCATGTTTTTCTCCTCTGGAATCCGGTGCAGTGCTCAGATCTGCTGACCAACCACCTATGAGGGACGCAATAAGCCCCGCCAGCTTCAGCAGCACACCTTCAGAACCGTTCCTAAGTAAACCCATTATCCTTGTAACAGCAGCAGGGAAAGACATTATATGGGATGCTGCACTCCTGGAGGACAATAACCTACGCAAACATGCGACAAAGCAATGACAGTTGCTGCTGCTTTGGGTGAAGGAGGTGGCAAAGGAGGGGCGTCTACAGGGAGGTTTGGAGTTGATGGTAGCATTGTAATCAATGCCATCAAAGTCACCTCAGGGACTTCACTATTAGTGGGCACACCTGTATACGGGATACAAGCATTGAACTCCCTTATTCTGCGCCATAATCTAGCCCTACTACCAGGAACAGAGCCACCTTCGGCAACTGCATCTTTTGCAGCAGCAGCTAAATGTTTCAGATGTAGGGAGCAAGTTTCCAAATCAGCAACAAGATGTTGTGGTCCAGAGATCAAGCTAACCCTTCCACAAGGTGGATCAATGCGATGACCAGGCATAGTAAGCCGTGGTAATACTGGTATCGGGCATTGTCCCTGCATCATATGTCCCCCATATATTAGCATTCCCATCTCAAATAAATTTTGCGTGCAATTACAGCAAGTATTAATATATGAAAATGTTTAGGACCAACATATCACATTCTAAAAATGACAGAGTATACGTACTTCTGTTTGCAGAGTATCGAGAATCGCTGCAAGTAGGTTGTCTCGGGATATGCTTGCATAGACCTAGAATAAGTGTCACAGAGGTTAGCTAATTATCATGATTAATAGTATATAACATAGAAGCAGAAATTACTTACATGAACTGGACACCCATCACTGAATTCGATAGCAAACATTTGGGGCTCCTCAGCGAACCGGACAAGTGAACTTACTGAAGATAGACGAACGATAACAACCTGCACACATCTAAGCAGTATTCTCAGTATTTGACAAAACAAAACCAAACTAGACAAGTAGAAAGTAAAAGCTACTTCCTACTAATTTTCAGTCTTACTTTATCATCCCAACATTGTAGTAACTTATTTGAAATATGTTCAATTTAAGGCACGGCCATATCATGGGAAACTTTTTACATTAAAGTTTAATAAAACCAGAAACAAAAACAATAGAACAAAGAATAGGAACGCAGCATAAAGTAGTAATATAGATAGAAATTATGTCTAAAAACGTGTTGCCAACTTACTTCATAGTTATCTATTCGTCTCTCAACAAGGGATGCCTTAGTAAGAATTAGCTGAAGGGCAACAGCATCTCCATGCTCACCAAGTCTCCTTTGGGGCCAATTGCTAAGCTTAGTCCAGGCATGTTTAGAGTTCCATGAGCAGCAGATCTTAATCTAGTAACAGACCACCACCCATTAGGACTTTCTTCAGCTCCAACTGCTTCTTTAGCTGCATAGTCAACAATTGGCATCAAAACAAGATAAAGAAATATATATAAAAAAAAAAAGGTGATCTAGACAAGACACAGTTGTAAGTACCCCTTCGTGTCATATACTCCGATACTGTCAGCATTGTGAATCATCGACTGACAAGAATACCCCAACCATGGACTTTGCAGTCTTAGCCTGCAAATGATATTTGCAATTATCAAGGTTAACAATAAGTTAGTAACAACTTCTCAACTAATGTTCAAGCATCTCATTAATACCAAACTTGCGACAATGGAGGAATTTGTTGTCCCAGGTGCAGCTCTAAAAGCTTTTGACTTTCTCCCATACATGGGACACAGAACAAACCCAGCAGAGTCCGTAGATTTTGTCCGGTATGCATCAGAGAGAAGAATGATTGCTGGGGAATTCATGTCTCTGAAATCCAAAATCCAGCGCGAATCACCAGATTTGAGTCGACGAGCTCCAGACCAACAAAGGTGACCTTCAATTTCTGCGAAAATTAAAAAAAAAAATCAATTCATAACAAAATCTAATTGAAACAATTAGTAAAAGCACCTCACTTCATTTCTACTACCAGTCGCAACTTTCAAATGATTCTTGGTTCTTCAAATAACAAAAATTAAAAAATAAAATAAAAAATCAATCCCATAGAAAATAAGAATAAGACTACTCATGTGAACTATAATTACTTACTGGAGAAAAAGAAACTCCCTGCCCAGTTCATGATTACAAAAATTTAAGAGCACATTAAACATTGAAAGATACTAACATCAGCTTAATGCCTAATACCAGACTCTGGCTAAACTATCTAAAGATCAAAACCTTCAGTCGCAAAAAAAAATCAAAGCACCAGCTATACCAATTTGACAACAAGACCAACCAGCACAATATAAGATCAGAGAAACCATGCATAAAAGCTTGAAGATGGAGCCACTGTAGGAAAAATACTTACATAAAGGAACCCATTTGCATTTCGTCTCCTAAGA